CGAAAACTACAGACCGGTAAGTCTGACGTCGGTCTTATGCAAATATCAGGAAAAGATTGTACGTAAGCATATGGCTGCGTACGTCGTAGGGCATGAGTTATTAACGCCAGCTCAACATGGCCTTATTGAGAGGAATTTTTGTCTATCGAATCTGTTTGCTTTTCTCGATGAAGTCACACGACGCTTAGATGAGGGACAGCATGTTGAGGTCTGTTACCTTTACTTTAGCAAAGCCTTTGACTCGGTAAGTCATCAGGGGTTAGATCAAAACAAGCAGTTTTTAGGAATTGGGGGGAAAGTTAGAAAGTGGGTCCACTGCTTTATAATTAACCGCACCTTCCAGGTTAAGGTTGGTTTGCACTTTTCACTACCGGCCAACATGACTAGCCGTGTCCCTCAGGTTTCTGTGCTAGGTCCACTACTGTTCCTGATGTTCTTCAACGATCTGCCACGGGAAATCAACAACCCGTACCTTATGTTCGCGGACGACTTCAAAGTGGCTGGAGCGAACGTATGTCAAGACCTGCAGGCTTTTATACGGCGATCCGAAAGTGGGATCTCCCGCTCAACCTAGCTAAATGTCAGCTTCTAACACCAGAAGCTGAAGTTTTGAAATCTTGAGTCTTGAAGTATTTCACGGGTTCGAGGCTGAGCCCGACAGTCCCGGATCTTGGACTTGACATACAGAATGAAATCCAACTTAGGAGAGAGAAGTTAAGGACTTGGGAGTAATTATACCCTACTAATTCAAACCCTCTCAACAATGTCAGATGGCAGCCAACATAGCTCGAAGGGAGCCTTTTCATGTACACTCCGCGATCATGTGTAGGAAACCCTAGATTCTCGTCCTTCTGTGCAAAGCCATAGTCAGGGCTCACTTGTAATATTGTGTCCAGGCAGTGGCACCGTACTTTCGGAAAGACATCGAACGTTTAGAAAGAGTGCTACTAGGCTGATGGTGGGACAAAGAGGTAAGAGCTACGAGCAGAGACTCAAGGACCTTAACCTGTTCTCTCTGGCAAGGAGGACAGTCAGGGGGGGTCTCTTTGGACTTAAGTTTAGGGACATATTCCAGTTCATCCCCTCACGTGGCACTAGGGGTCATAGTTTAAGGCTGCAATGTAGTCTTGTATGGCTGGACATTCGAGCCAAGTTCTTTACAAGTCGCCTGATACCTTATTGGAATGGTCCACCTGAAAATGTGGTAAGTTGCTCGAACGTCATAGCCTTCAAGAGGGCATTAGATGACTGTTGGGTTTCTACCTTCCCTGAAACAGTTTGATGGTATGTACNTATGTACCCATTAGTCATGAGCGCCATTGCCCAGGACGTGATACTGCACGTTACGTTCTACCCTTCAGATAAAACCTATTGGCTCGCAGTGTTGGAAGCGACAAGAACAGCCAACAACACATCAATCTGGACGCAAGATTGGCTCGGGCCACACATCGTCCTATGCAAACTGAACTGAACTGAAGCGGCTGACCTTGACCCTGCGCGGTACGTTCGAAACTTGATCGTACCTTGCTGTCCAATTTATCGGTAGTCTATATCCCCATTATTCTCAATTTGCCTTTCTGAAATTAGAAAAAATTACTTTTCCTACTGAACTTTTAGACACGTTATTCTTTCATCGGCTTCCTCTGTTTCTAGACAAAGATACCTTACCAATGCGTCAAGACGAGGCTATCCTGAGTTCGGAGGACTTTCCGGCCGATCTGTTAGGACTTATTCACGAGCAAGCCTCAGAAATAAAAGACCCTCAAGCTAGGCTGAGTGTATTTGGTGACCAACTCGTCAAATTACACGCTCTGCTCCTAACATCTGTCCCAACAACCTGCGCTGCGAACAGGGCTCTTAAGCTTTCGCAGCAAGAAATAATGGATGCCGCAAAGAAACTAAACGATAGTCAACTGTGTGCAAAGNAAGTGGGTTATATTTTTGAGGCGTTTCTCTGGGTCTGACACTCTGGAAAGTATATGTAAGCATATATTCAACCATCGAGAACCGTATAAGTACAAACTCATTAGCTGCACTTGGCTAACCGCCAAAGGTTCACGGAGACGTATGGGCTTTCTTATCGAATTGGGTTCTTCCAAGCTCGCTAATGGTATTCTGACTCACCCTAAAACGCTCCTGGTTAGGCCCGAGGGGTGTCTCCATAGACAAACCTTTGCACGTGAGACTCTCACAGCCCAGCTAAAAGGTGCCAAAGTTGACCCCAGAGACACCGAACTATTCAGAAGCGCCTTCATCTCAGCAGTTCGGTTGGACTCAAAAGTTCCTAAGTCCCAACCCTGTTGCCCAGATCCTATACTCTTAGACGAGATTGTAGTTGGACTTAAAACAAGGGCGGCCAGCTCAGAAAACAATAGTTTCATAGAACCGGACCGGATTTCAATCGAGGCACCTGTGAATAAGAAGCAAAGGCAAGCAGAAAAGCAAAAAGCATACGAAACCCAGCCCGGTTTGCAATCCAGTCCCACCGAACATTAAAAGAGGACTCCTCGGGTATCCTACCAGTCGCAATCAGGTGCGTCGGAGCACACCGCTTAAGCCGGAGGCCGATAAAGGACCAGCCCTTCACCCTTTGAATGTTCGTTCCTGCAGTGTACCCTCCCAGGTCAATAACGGCAAAAATGGGGCAATTTTTCGAATGAAGGGGGTGACTGGCCGACCGCCGGAGAGGCTCTTAAAGAAGGCCCCTGCGATGGTGAGATATCCTCCTAAGATAGCCCTCCGACCAACATATGCTCGAACTGTACGTCGACCGTCATTAATGTCCCTTGCGACTGCTCAACCGGTCCCGCGTTTCTCCCTATCAAACTCAAGAACGCTGAAGGATGCATACTTAAATGCATTTCTAGCTACTATCTTAGCCTTCCAAACAAAGTTATCGAATTAAAGCAATTTACCTCAGAGCAACAACCCCATGTTATCACCCTCACTGAGACCTGACTGAACGACAATGTTCCGGACGGGGAGATCTCCATTCCCGGTTTTACTCTGATAAGAGGAAACTTAGCTCGAGGCAGAGTAGGTGGTGTCATAGCTTATTTTAGTTGCGCTCTCCCTCCTCCATTTTTCATTTCAGTCGACCCAAGAAACCCAGCTATTATTGTTCTTTTGATGAACTCGAAAAGCGTGCACCGACACAATTCCCCGCGGTAAGCTCTGTATCGCACGCTTTTGTTGCATTGATCAGATCTACTTTCAGGTTTCTGCTACCGTTGCTTAAATAACAGCCTAGGCCTAGCCAAACCTACTTCTAGCCTTTTGGAAGATCCAGAATATATTGTTTTCCACAAACGCAATCCTTGGTTCTTTTTCTTTTTGGGAAGGATATTGAAAACGAACGTGAGTAAACATTAGTGACAGGTTCTGACTAACATCAGCAACCATCGAGTCACTAAACTAGCAACGAAGCAGGTGGAGGCGGTCAATCCTAGCGTTAAACATACTATGAAAGAAAACAATAGAAAGGAGAAAATCACGAGCACAAAGGGAAAGAAACCACGCAAAGGAGCTGCGGTTAAATCGTTGGAGTCGATAGAAGTGACTGCACGTATACAACAGTTGGAGAAGGATATACAAGAAATGCAACGCGGCACTCAGGCGCCACTGGGTCGAACGAGAAACGTCTTGCTGCATAACTTTGCAGAGCGAATGATTCGCGATACCAAAGCACGACGAGAGGCGGATCGCAGACACGTTCAAGATGTTTCCGACTGGCGGGTATACCGGCCAATATGCCCTATATTAAGTACCACAGGGTTGGGNNACATACAGCCGGGACCTTCTGCTCTCTAGGGCTGTTGCAGTGAAGATGAACACCAGGGGTCATCGAAGTTACCCCTGATACAGTTATTCACGCCCAGCGGGGCGTCATCCCCAATGTTCCTGCAACAGGAATAATGCAACAAAAGAAGCCTGGAGTTATTATGAGCAAACTAAACGCCCATATGGCGCATAGAGTAGGAGTGGTCAAGGCATGCCATCGCAGGGTGGTCTTTCAAAGTCTATCAGCTGGATCACCGTTGAGCAAGTCCACACCCATAAAACCGAAGCCAGATGGGCCAAAAGTGACAACAGAAGGGAGGAAAAGCCGAGGCAGTCCCGAGTTGGAGTCTCCGGGAAGAAAACAGATAACAGAAGAGCAGACGGACCATTAAAGATCACTCCGTCGGACCCATCCAAGGCTGAGGGAGTTAAAAAGGTGGGTGAGTCTACGGTCGCTGATAGCAAGGCGAAATCAGCGTGCGTTATTTGGGCCACAGTGGTAGTAAGGAAAATTCAGGACACTCCCTCTCTGAGTAGGACACTATCCATGCTTAGAAGGCAGCGAGCACCCACAAAAGGACTCAGATAGGAATTTGGGTTAACCCTCAAAGATATAATAAAGTCTGTGGGGGGTATAGTCTGGTCATTCACGGAGCCTGATCTCCCGGTACCCGCAAGTATGGTATCAAAAAACGTAATACTTCCTCGGGCTTTACGTCCGAGGATCCATCCCAAGCAATACAGAAGAGTTGTATGAAGGTAGAGTTGGACACCGTCACAGTGTGGTACACTAACGCCATCAGTGTTAGGGGAAAATGGGGAGAGTTGGCGACTCGCATCAAAACCTCGGTGATAATAGTTACCTATGAAACTTGGATGCGGCATGAGCAAGATGTAGAGAAGCCCAGAGACTACTCGGCTTATTGGCAAGATAGAGTGGACGGCAGAAAGGGAGAAGGAGTACTCCTGCTGGTCAGAGCCGCTTACACTCAATGGGACTAACCAGTAAAACTGGCAACACCTAATATTCAGGCCAAGGCGTGTAGTATCCTCTTGGGAAGACTACCGTTAGGAGTACTACTAGTCTATCGCGCACCCCAGGCGGAACCCACAGAAGATATGGAACTACTTGCTACAATGCGGGAATTCGTATCGAGGACTCCAAGAATCTTAATTCTGGGTGATTTCAATCCTCGGGAGATCTGTTGGGTAAACGGAGAAACTTCCATCGGGACAAAGGGAGAAAGCTTTCTAACATGGTTACATGAGCATGCGCTCATTCAGCATATCATGCAAGCCACAAGGTTTCGCAACCAACAGAGGGCATCCATCCTGGACTTAGTTATAACGCGGTATTTATCGGACATAAGTGACATAGCAGGGGAGAATCTACTGGGTAAGAATGACCATGGGGTACTAAGGATAGTATTACCTATGAAACACAGCAAACCGGCTGCCCCACTTAAACAGTGCTATAGCCGTATAAACATTGCTGCCCTACAAGAGGCCGCAGAACACATAGATTGGGTGCCACTAGCTCCCGAGTCAACGTTTGAAGAGCGATTGTCTGTCATTAAGGTAGGGTTGCTTAGACTGACCGATAGGTTTACACCCTTCAAACCCAGAAGCAATAGACAACGACCAGCTTGGTGGAAGCCACAGCTNGGAGGAGACGCTGGGCCCGTTTTAGGGGGTAACGGACTGTCGATGCATGGTCGATCTACAGGAGGGCATGCAAAGGGAGGCGAAGTATGAACATGAGAAAAAGTTAGCGCAAAACGTTAGGCATAACCCGAAAAGGTTTTATGCATATGTACAGACAAAAACACTAAGGAGGGAGTAGGCACACTGAAAGAAACGGAAGGTGTAAAGGCCGCCACCGACCAGGAAAAGGCAAGTGCACTTCTCAAGTTTTTCAAGGGAATTTATCGGCCACCTAAATCGGGACAGAATGTAGACTGCAGCCTGGTTAGAAAAAGGGAGCATTTCACGGAGTTCAACCTCTGTGAAATCGACGTGGTCCGAGAGGTCAACACTTTAAATAGGCATAAGGCAGCCGGACCGGATGGATTGCATCCCGCCGGGTTTCAGTTTCTAGCAAATGCATTAGTTGGACCGGTCACTAAGTTATTTAAGGAGTCCATCGGCACTTGCAGGCTTCCAAATGACTGGAAAACTGCAACCGTAGTGGTCATCCACAAGTCAGGCCCTAGACACCATGTTTGCAACTATAGGCCGGTAAGTTTGACCTCGGTCCTATGCAAGTGTCTGGAGCGGATGGTTAGGAAACAGATATGTTCTTATCTGATGGCTCATGAGCTTCTGATTCAAGCCCACCACGGATTCGTCGAGAAAAGATCCTGCCTAACCAATCCTCTGGCATTTTTAGACGAAGTTACAAAAAGAATAGACGCAGGTCGTCAAGTAGAGGTTTGCTACCTACATTTCAGCAAAGCTTTCGACTCTGTCAGTCATCAGCTTCTGCATATAAAAATGTAGACAGTGGAGATTCTAGGTAAGGCAAGAGAATGGATTGGACAATTTCTCAGCTGTCGCATATTCAATATGAGAGTTAGAAATTATATGACCGAATACGAGGGAATATCGAGTGGTGCCTCATAGGGATCGGTGTTAGGGCCCTTATTATTTTTGATCTCCATTAACGACCTTGCGAAGGAACTCCAAACTCCTTGTTTCATGTTTGCCGATGATGTGAAGTTAGCTGGGGAAGGACTGGAACAAGATCTAGATGCAGTTCGAAGATGGTTGGATAATTGGGATTTGCCACTGAATCTAGGTAAGTGTCAGCTCTTGACCACAAGAGTGAATGATGACGCGGGAGGTGTGATGCATCTGCAGCATCTTTCGGAGGCAAATGATCTAGGTATAATGATCACGAACGATTTCAGGCCATCCCTGCAGTGCAAGCGTGCGGCCAATAAAGCCCGACACGAACTTTTCAGGTTGTGCGCTGTGGTAAGTTGCAGAATACCCGAGGTTTTGTACCGTCGTACAAANAAACTATAGTGCATCCTCATTTTAAATATTGCGTAAAAGCATGGGCGTATTATTTTAAACAGGACGAACGGTATCTTGAGAAAGTACAGCGCTTAGTTACTAGAATGGTAGCAGGCCAGAAAGATAAGGGATACCTCCAACGACTGTGGGACCTGGACCTGTTCTTCCTGGCCCGCAGACGCATGCGGGGCGACCGTATAGAGACATTTAAGGTTGTCAAAGGGCTTTCGGGTCTAAAGTTCGAAAACCTATTCTTGTTTGTACCTGCCAGGGGCACGAGGGAGCAGCAATTTAGAGCAGAAAGAAGTCATTGTAGACTAAATTTGCGAGCTAGGTTCTTCACAAACAGAGTTATACCACTGCGAAATACACTGTAGGCTCAATTTGCGAGTTAGGTTCTTCACAGACAGAGTTATACCACTGTGGAATAAATTACCTGAAGCAGTGGTAAACTGTATTTATGTCGAATCTTTCAAGAGAAGGCTAGATAAATGCTGGGCAGTGGTATTTCCCGATGTTGGATGCTGAAAGTTAATCGTTAGGCTTTACTTTCCGAAACACTGTAAGGAATCTGATACTGCACACTAACACTCTGCCTTTCAGAAACTACTATTGACTCGAAGTGTTGGAGGCCAACAAAACCGCCGACAACACAAGAAACTGGACGCGCGATGGGCAAGAGCCACAATTCGTCCTGTGAAAACTGCCCCGGGTCCCGATGGCATACATCCTGCCATTGTGAAACCAATTGCTCAAATCTTAGCAGACCTCTAGCCATTCAGTACACTGGTCAAGCTACATAGCTGATCAGTGGAAGAGAAAATGTTCTG